TTGCCACAGACACCTGTGGAGAATTATCTCTCCCAAGGCCAATTTCTTCTTTTGTTATGCTGACTCAATACTGTTGAGTTGACCCATTTTTTAACATACTCTTCGATTCTTCTTTGGGGTAAACTTTATCCCTATTTATATACAATGATCACAAAACTAGAGCTCCATACAGACAATTCTTAGTCCACAATCTCGTCAACCACTGTACTTCCTCCGAAGCACCCCAAAATCCGCAACCGTGACGTCCATGCTGAGTAGACCTTCTGTAAATTTAATGTTATTTCTTTAACTCCTTTGGTACTGAAGTATAAGATTATTACGGAGGCGGACATACCGCAAGTCCCAACCTTATTCTCTATAAGATCTCAGGCCTTAAACACATGTAAATTTTGAGAGAACCTTTCAGTACCACATATATACATTTCAGGCCAAAACTGATATAACAAATGACTCGCAATCCATTCATTGATAGTGGACTCCCCCACTCGGCATGAAGTCATAGTTCACCACGTCTGATGGTCCACAATATTAACCTTCACAACTCGTATAAATCAACCAGATGCCAAGGTACGTTGCACCCCCCACATTATTCACTAGGTGATCTCTTTATACGTCTGCATCTTCAGTCGGAATCACACGTTGAGGCAATATTTGAGCATCTCTAGCTCCCTCGTAGTTCATCTGCGGCATCACGAACCGTCGACGCACAACTGATACCGAGTGCGCAATGTCATACACGAGTAGATACAAAGGAATGTGAGATATAGGTTTCAAGCAAAATCAATGCCGCACGATAAGGAATGAAAGAGGTGATATTGTTCCTAAACTTCATAGCCTCTGAGAGATAAGTACAGACATCTCCGTACCGATCCTTCAGACTCTACTAAGCTTGCTCGTGACTCATGAGACCTATGTAACCTAGTGCTCTGATACCAACTGTCACGACCCGAAATTCCCACCTTCGGACCGTGATGGCGCCTGACATTTCACTTTCTAGGCAAGCCAACATTAGAATAATATTAACCAATTTTTAAACAATTTTTAAATTATTAATAATCCAAGAAACAAATGCGGAAGCAAAGTTTAAAATATAGTGAATAATCCCTAAAAAAAATAACACTGTCTAAATACCATCCCAGAATTGGTGTCACGGGTGCACGAGCTTCTAGAATAATACAAATAAATATCTGAATAAAATGAAGTTGTCTGGAAATAAACACACAGCTAAAGTAAAATAGATGGGGACTTCAGAACTGCGGACGCCATGCAGTTATATCTCAAGTCTCCTCCGAGTAGCTGAAATCCGAGCAAGTTTATGGCACTCCGCTGGGACCAACTCTGATATATGCACAAGAAGTATAGAGTATAGTATCAGTACAACCGACCCCATGTACTGGTAAGTGCTGAGCCTAACCTCGATGAAGTAGTGACGAGGCTAAGGCGGGTCACTTACATTACCTGTACGCAATATTAGTAACAACAACAATAATAGAAATAAAT